ATCTCTACTAAAAATAGAAAAATTAGCCAGGTGAGGTGGTGCACACCTCTAGTCCCAGCTACTTGGAGGCTGAGGTAGGAGGATTGCTTGAATCCAGGAGTTTGAGGTGGCCATGAGCTATGATGATGCCACTGGCATCATCTCTACCCCTGGCAACAGAGGGAGACTCTGTCTCAAAACGAAAAACAAACAAAAAGGCCCACAAACCAAATAAAAAACACCATAATCTAAGTCACTGTTTTGTTTTTAGAGCTGAAGAAATTAAAGTCTTCCATCAAGATGACTTTTGTGAAAAGTACATTAGATCCCTTAAGTCCCATCTTGAACATATCCAGTGGCTTTTAGTCTTTTTATTTTTTCCAATTTTTAAAAATATGGTTAAATATACATAATATACCATTTTCTCTTTTACCCATGTTTAAGCGTACACCTCCATTCCTTTTATTCCTGGAATAAAATGTACCCTTTCTCTCATGGCCTATAAGGCCCTTTGTGATCTGGCCCCTGCCCAGCCCCTGACTTCACACCCCACCACCTTCTCCACTCTGAGGTCCCTTGTTCCTTTGGCCTTTTCACCTCTTCTCAAACTTACCAAGTGTCTGTGAGTGTGCGACTCACTGATTCCTCCACCTGGAAATCTCCTTCTCTAGACTTTTGTCTGTTTCATCTTTTTTCATTATTTATATTTCTGCTCGAATGTCCTCTTCAAAGAGAGGCCATTCCTGGCTAATTAAAACAGGTACCAGCAAACTTTATGCTGCTGAGGGCCAGATAGTAAGTATGTTAGGCCTTGAGGGTCATTGTGGCCTCTGTTGTTAACTGCTCTCTTCTCTGTTGAAAAGCCAAAACAGGAGCCACAGACAAGAGGGGAATGAATAGGCATGGCTGTGTTCAAATAAAACTTTATTTACAAAAATAAGCAGCAGGCTAGATTTGGCTTACAGGTTGTAGTTCACTGACTCCTGATCTGCAGTATCTCCTGCTGTCCCTCTGTCACTCAACTCCTTTTCCTGCATTTTTAAAATTCTTTTCACTCTCAGAAACGTCCCTGCTTATTTATTTTGCTCCTTGCCTATGGTCTCCTGCATTGAACTATAAGTTCTGCCAGGGCAGGGCCTGGCTATCCCTGCTGTTTCTCCAGAGCTTCCTTAGTGCCTGGCACAGAGTAGACACTTCATCGATAAATGTTTGCTGAATGAAGGAATCGTTTGCAGTGATTCCAGCAAGCTCGGGAAGGCCTTAGAAGTCAGCCAATAAGCAGACAGGCCAGTCGCTGTATCCTCACTGGCAGCTTGGCATTGCTCCCACAGCACAGGGAAGGCAAAGAAGCATGGAGTTTGCATCCAGAAAACAAGAGAAGCTGCTTACCTCTCTCATGACTTGCCTGCAGGCTCCACAAGGCGAGATAAAATTATCTTGCAAGTCACTGGGAAAGCAAAGAATCAAACTCAGATCAGTCTCTCAGAGGCATGAGGACAATTGCTAAGATTCAGGTGCTGAGTCCCGGCCCCTTTCCAGATTAGGTCAAACCCCATCAGACAGTTCTGATTCACAGACACACCGTGTCCTGGAGACTGAGAAGGTGACTTGGCAGCTGTCCGCACTTCCGGGAGGCAAGGCCATGGGCAGGGATTCTCATTAGTGTTCAATAAATGCTTAGGGAGCGCTTGCTATCACCCACTCCCAGGGATAGAAAGGTTGAAGAGAATTTGTCTCTTGCCTTCAATAGATGGTTCAGCCCAGGGGTGTCATAGAGGACTAGTTGAGGTACCATTTTAAATAAAATGCAGTAAGAACATAAAGTGAGAGGGAGGCAGTCCTCACTGATAGAATGAGAAAGAATACAGAGGAGGTGGCATTTGTCCCAATCCTTGTAAGAAGTACAGAATTCACAAGCCACCATTCAGTGAGCACTACTGTACACCAAGCTCTGTACCAAGCACACTCAACATACGTTATTTAATTTTCAGAACAGCCTAGATGTCAGAATGGCCATTTTACAGGTAAGGAAACAGGCTCAGTGAGATGAAGTAACAGAGAAGTCATTCTGCAGCCCAGGCTTTTTCTGTGATGTAGGCAAAAGAAATAAACAGCACGTGCAAAGGCCCTGAGGCATGAAAGAAGAAGATGCATGTCAATCGAAAAGAAAAATGAGTTCCTTGCATCTGAGAAAGCCTGGAGAAGAGAGGGTTACAGCCAGGGGTTGCCTAGAAGAGTTGAGGCACCTGTAGGCAGGCCTCCAGCCCTGAGCAGGAGGAGGGATGGTGCCTAAAGAAGGCAGATTCACCGTAAGAACCCCCACCCCTGCTGGAGCACGAAAGATTAAGTCAGCAGCCACCATCTCCCTTGCTCTTCTGGACCCACTGCTTTATGACATCTCGGGAGGAACATAGGATTTAAAGTTTGATTCTCGGCCGGTCTTGGTTAGGGTGACCAGATGTCCCGCTTTTGGCAGGACAGTCCCGATTTTTAACAATTTGTCCCGCGTCCCGTGGTGTTTTTAAAAAGTCCCAATTTTTAGAAAGAATGCACGAAGGGAATATACGGTTTTCAGCTGCCATGTGACTATTTCACCAGGATATGAGTTTTATCTTATTTTTGTTAATTTTATAATGTTAAACTGTAATAATAACAAATAATTGTTGAGAAGTAATTATCGAGAACTGCTTATCAAAGTTTGCACTGTTGTCAGGCACCCCCGCCCCGCGCCCCCCTCCTCACCCCGTTCCTCCCACCAATGGTGTCCCGCTTTACCAATGTTAAAATCTGGTCACCTTAGTCTTGGTGGCTCATGCCTGTAATCCTAACACTCTGGGAGGCCGAGGCAGGTGGATCGCCTGAGCTCACAAGTTTGAGACCAGCCTGAGCTCTAAAACTAGCTGGGCATTGTGGCGGGCAGCTGTAGTCCCACATACTCTTGAGCCCAAGAGTATGAGATTGCTGTGAGCTGTGATGCCACAACACTCTACCAAGGGCAACAAAGTGAGACTCTGTCTAAAAAAATAAATAAATAATTTTTGATTCTCAGTTGGTATCTCCTTTTGCTATGTATAACTTTTACTGAGTCATTTTAATGACTTTTAATGAGTCATTTTAACCCATCCAAGGCTCTTTTTTTTGCCTTATTAGCTTAGATGGCTAATAATTCTTATTACTGCACTTTATGCAGATAATCAGACCCAGTATACTGAAAGTTCTTCTTCCCCCCCCCCCCACAAGTTTTGACCAGGGCAGGGTTTGAACCCACCACCTCCCGTACATGGGGCTGGTGCCCTACTCCTTGAGCCACAGGTGCCGCCCCAGTATACTGAGAGTACAGTTTATTTTGGCAAATAAATTGATCCTGCTGTGATTTATCTTTAATAAAATGGGAAACTAGAGAGAGAAGAATATGGTTCAAAAACAAGAAACTATGGCCCACCTGTGCCTTGTCTGCAATGCCAGCTCATGGAATGACACGCAGCTGTTTAACCAAACTGATCTGTTCACAGGACTGAGACTGGCCAAAGAATATAGAATTATATACAACAGTCAGATTTGCTCCAATTTGTTTTTTCTTTCTGCTTCTTAGTCCTGAGATAACATATTGAGTTTTAATATATACAGTCTTTTAATTTCAAAATTAAAAGTAAGGGCACTGAAAAAAAAAGATTAAAAATATTTACCCTGAAGGGCATATCTCTGACATAATTTGAGACGGCTGCCTTAGAAGTAACATTACAAAAGCATGCTAAAATGCTTGTCCCAATTTACAGAGTCTGTGCTGAGAGAAGTGTTATTAGAGATTTTTCTCTGACTCTAAGACTGATGGGGGGTGGCGCCTGTGGCTCAGTGAGTAGGGCACTGGTCCCATATACTAAGGGTGGCAGGTTCCAACCTGGCCCCAGCCAAACTACAACAAAAAAATAGCCGGGCATTGTGGTGAACACCTATTCCCAGCTACTGGGGAGGCTGAGGCAAGAGAATCACCTAAGCCCCAAAAAGCTGGAAGTTGCTGTGAGCTGTGATGCCACAGTACTTTACCAAGGGTGATAAAGTGAGACTCTGTCTCTAAAAAAAAAAAAAAAAAAAAAAAAATGGAGAAGACTTCCTCAATAAAGATTGTTCAACTCACTAGCCCAGGTAACTAGCTACAAGGTTTCACAGCCCTGACTCTGTCTGTGTTGGCTTAAAGAAGCCAGAGTGGGCCTCTGTTTACTTCTTTTTTTTTGAGACAGAGCCTCAAGCTGTCACCCTGGGTAGAGTGCCGTGGCATCACAGCTCACAGCAACCTCTAACTCCTGGGCTCAAACGAGTGTATTTCCTCTGCCTCCCAAGTAGCTGGGACTATAGGCGCCTGCCACAATGCCTGGCTATTTTTTGGTTGCAGCTGTCATTGCTGGATTCGAATGCGCCAGCTCAGGTGTACGTGGCTGGTGCCTCAGCAGCTTGAGCCACAGGCACCAAGCCCTGTTTACTTCTTTACCGTAGAGTCGTTTTTGAGATATCTTTCAGGTCCTGCAGTCCAGTAACGGACCCACAAATTACTCAATTGGCCTTGGAATCCCCACCCAAGATGGCCCTCCCACTTTTTCCAAGCCTCCAGCAGATGACCTTTGATCTCTGACCTGGCAAGCCTGGCCACCACCTCCTGAACTGCACTATGCTACACTCTGATTTGCTTAAGAAGCCCCTTGCCCTGCTTCGTGAAACATACATTCCACCAGAGGCCAGGTTCTCAAAGTTCAGAGGGAAAGACCAAACAGCTCAAGGGCAAGTGGACTGGGAGGTCCTGCTTTCAACCCCTACAGCAGTTAAGCTGTCTGGATCACATCATTCCCACATCCAGCCTGATCCCCCTGAAAAACCCAACAAACTCAAGCCTGACCCGTGAGCTGCAGAGCTGTGTGGAGACAGTGGTCAGAGCTTCAGTTGTCGGGATGAGAAGTATATTCTCAGGCGTTTTTATTTTTTGTTGTATTTAGTGTGCCCCTCGTTGCCTTTTGTTAACTGTGCTGCGTGCTGTTTCCAGTGTAACTTTAAACCTATTCCTGGCCAGAATAAGTTCGATCTCTGTACAGATGCAAAACAAAACAACAACAAAAAAAGAATAAAATAAAGCAGCTGAGGTGCTGTTTTATTTAATCCTCATGATAAGTATGTTTTATATGTGAGGGGTCCAGTTAAAGAATGGTTCTGCCCCATGGAAAGGTGGGGTCCTTTCTTAGCATACTTCTAGCTTCAGGAGAACAGCCTGTGAGAGGGTGGGGAGCGCTGCCTGGGATGGCCACTGAGCCAAGGTAACCCTTGCAATTACTGGAGGATAGCTGTTGCAGCCAGGGGCCTCTCCTAAGCTCTTTGGAAGTTGAACTCTGTCATTTTTCACTTCAGTCCATACAGGTTGACCAGAAGTCTGCTCTGTGCCAGGCAGGCAGGGAAAAGAAACACACAAAGATGGAGGGGAGA